TTTTTTTTCATTAATCTACATTCAGTACCCCATAATGACAAAGTGAACATGGAACTTTAGAAATGTCTGTAAATTTATTAAAAAGAAAAAAACTGAAATATCACATTGACATAAGTATTCAGACCCTTTGCAACAATACTTGAAATTTAGCTCCCATGACTCCCATTTCTCTTGATCGTTGCCAACATGTTTCTATATCTTGACTGGGGTCGATCTGTGGTAAATTTAATTGATTGGACATGATTTGGAAAGGCACACACCTCTCTATAGAAGGTCTTACAACTGACAATGCATACTGTAACAGAACAAAAGCTATGAGGTCAAAGGAACTGCCTGCAGAGCTCAGAGACAGAATTATTGCAAAGCACAGAACTGGGAACGGCTAAAAATTTCTGTGGCACTGAAGGCTTCTAAGAGTATGGTGGCCTCCATAATTCTTAAAAAGAAGAAGTTTGGCACAACCAGGATTCTTCCGAGAGCTGGTTGCCCGGTCAAACTGAACAATCGGGTGAGAAGGGCTTTAGTAACAGAGGTGACCAAGAACCTAATATATTTAGGTTCCTAATATATTTAAAAATTCAGGTTTTTAAATTTTAAATTTGATTTTTTTTATTTTTATCAAATTTATTTTAATAAAATATTTTTGGAGTAAAAATCTATCTAAAAGTTTTCTATTTAACATACATTAATAATTTAGTTTATTCAGTATGAAACGGAGCTTAGTTATGTAGAATGAGGCTGTATATTCTGCAATATTTACATTTTTTGTAAACTCATTCATTCAAAGAATCCAAGTTCTGCAATATTAAAGATTCTATCAGCAAGAATGAGTCCTTTGTATTTAAAGAGCAATTATCATTTCAGATCCATCATGGCAGCGCCTGTTAGCGGGCATCCACTTACCTGCTGCCCGCCATGTCCCTCACCTTGTTGTGTCACTGCTGCATCACCAGCTGTCTCATTAAAGTGAATGAGACTGTCGGTGAGTCAACTGCAGCTCAGAGGAGGAGCTGCTACGGGACAGAGATGACAGCTGCTCTTTCAAAATTATTATTTAAATCAAGTTGATTTAAATCAAGCCTTTTTACTAGTGATTTAAATCATGATTTAAATTGACTTGATTTAAATCAAATCCACCCTGAGAGATCCTGTGTGGAAATGGGTCAGAGTTCCAGAAGGACAACCATTACTGCAGCCTTCCTCCCATCTGTGCTTTATGGCAGAGTTGCTAGGCTAGGGCTGTCAAAGTCAAGGTCTACGGGCCATATCTGGCCTGCGAGGTGGTTATATCTGGCCCATGGCACTGCCCTGGAAACTGCAAAGAACCTGCCCATGGTGCCTTGGCCTGGCCGAGGCTGACTGGATGCTGATCTACATCCTGGTGGCAGCCATCCGGGCTGGACTGCAGTCAGCCTTAGATCCACAGTGATGCCTTGACCCCCACCCCCGAATGTGCACACAGGAGGTGGCAAGCACGTGGGACCTGTTGTCCCTGGGGACTGCGTTCTGAACGCGTTCCTTTCACCCAAGACGCCAGCCCTCACGTGTTCACCACCTCCTGTGTGCACATCCAGGAGGTGGGGCTGTGGCACAGATTTAAGGCTGGCCACGGTCCAGCCTGGATGGCCGCTACCAGGTTGCAGATCAGCGCTGTGCTTCCATGCCCCACTCACCAGGCTTTCACTGGTACCACCCGCCGCTGCATGGGAATGCCACGCTGCCAATCTCTCCTCCTCCTCCTCTCACTCATCCCTTCCTGAGCATGGAGGAAGGAGATGGGAAGGAGGCAGAATGGGACCTTTAGGCCATGGAGCTTCTGCCTGCCGGCATGTGATGGACTATTGCAGAGGATGAACGGGGAAAATGGCAGGTGAGCAGTGGTGGTGTGCAGCTGCTGGCATTGCAGGGGAGGGGTGCAGAAGCAAAACTGTCCTCTCAGTATGGGGCATAGACTCTGTCCTGGTGTGGAGGCAACAGAGGGGAGGGTAGACAAAAAGGGAAGCTGCTGCTCTGCAGTTTTTCTAACCTGCCAGAAGCTCTGGACAGAGGCTTCCCATTTCGATCTTTCCCCCATCGTTGCCTCTGTGTGGCTCTGTGCTCACTTCTCCCAGACCCGCACACGTTTGTGTATGTGCACGCACGAAGGAGGTGGTGTCTGGCAGCAAGGGCTCACAACCTGCTGCAACCACCTGGTTGTACCTCCAAGAAGCAGGAATGGCAGTGGCACCAGGCAGCATTGGGGGGGGGGGGGTAGGCATGTGATGCGGACCAGCGGAAGAGTCTGTTCCATTCCACATGGCTGAAAGGGTGTAGGCAGCTGCCCAGCGCATCCAGCAGGCTGGACCATATGCCTCCCCTCTACATCTCTGCCTCCAGCTACTGCCACCGCCATGGGCCGAGACAAGGTGATGCAGAGGATGAGAATGCTGCCCGCCTGTCCGGTCTGTTTTTGCTTGCGGTTGGAAAGCAGGTCATCGCTGGTCATCTCCTCGGCCTGCTCGTGGGTCTTACCATTGGCATACCCGATGTATCTCGGCACCACAATGAGCTGCTTCTAGCACTGAGGCCACCAGCAGCTCATGCAGCTCCATTAGGCTGTTACTACTGCTGCCCGAAGCACCAGGCCCACCCAAAATGAAGGAGGTGAAGCATCATACCCCAAAAGACTTGAGGCTGTAGTTGCTGTCAAAGGTACTTCAACAAAGTACTGAGTGAAGGGTCTGAATACTTATGCCAATGTGATATTTCAGTTTTTTCTTTTTAATAAATTTGCAGACATTTCTAAAATTCTGTTTTCACTTCATCATTGTGGGGCTCCGAGTGTAGTTTAATGAGAAAAAAATGAATTTGAACAACTGTAGGTTGCAACATAACAAAATTACAAAAGGGAATCTGGATATCTTCTGAATGGACTGTATATTAAAATAGAAAATATGTTACTTGTACAAATTTTCTTTAAATATTTTTTCAGATTTGGTATCTGGGAAGTGTGGAAGCATTCAGAAAGGATTAAAATTAGCATGATGTAAAGATATAACACCTAAGGAGCGTTACATAAAGACAGGATAACCTTTATGTCCAATAGCCTCATGAAAAAACCAGAATCTTGGGTATGGAGAGGTTACAAATTTCTAAAAGCAATTTTTCTCAGAGTTGAACTTTGAGCAAAGTTGAAATTATGAGCAAGTACTAATCTTATATCGATCCATTAATTAGCTCTGATATTCAGCAAGTTTTCTTGTCTCACTACAATGCTTTCTACTTCTGTCATTCAAATGAGTGCAACATTCCCTAGTGTTGTTTGATCTGAAATCTATTGACACTGTACCTTTGATTGAAAAGTGGCTTCAGTCTGTTCATCAATGCTACTTCTTTTGAGGATTCTTGTTCCCGTTCCCCAAGAAGGTCACAAGTCTTTTCTTCAGCCATCACAGTGATTATAATGGCTAGTGTCACAGCATGGGAGAAAGCATGAACCAGGAACATTCTATAAACAGCAGTTTACAGAAAGTGAGGAAAATAAATTTCAAAAACCTATTAATATGTGTGTTAATGCTTCTGACAAAAATTCTGAATTCAGCAAACTGTTTCAGGCTTCACAACTCCAGATTAAGAGAAGAACAGGAAAATAATATGGAGCAATACTGGTCTCATAAAAATAATAACCTGGGACGAGATACTTCTGAAACAAAAGAAATTATGTTTATGGAATGGAAATTTCAATTGCTAGGTATTAGCAATTGCCACTCTTTCCTTAATGTCCATTATATATTTTCTTTAGTGTCTTTAATGGAGGAAAACTTAATTAAGATGGTTCTCTTTCTCACAAAATCCATGCTAACTATCCTCTACCAGTGGATACCAGTGAAGGAAAAAATCTTGCAATACCAATTTCAGAAGGTTATTCAGCTGGACACTGCTAGATCTCTGTGGTAGAACAGCTAGAAAGTTATTCTTTTGTAGTAGGTATAGACTCAGCTGTCAAAATTGAAGAAACCTGAAACCTATACTGCAAAAAATTTCAAGACAGAAATTGTTTGGACCTATACTTGTTAGTTGCTGTAATCAGAGTTATATATATCTTTTATATTTTATATATTTTAACCACTGAAATTGAGATTTATTACTGTATATTAGTGAGATGCAATTTCTGCAGATCTCCTGTAAAATAAAGGATAAAGTAGGAAATTGAATGTTTGGCATTAGAAAATTGACCACAATCTGTGGTCCTAACCATAGTCACAATCTTATTCTTATGGTGGGTATTTTACAAAGCATTCTACTTGCATTTTTGTTTTTTTACTCTGCGTTCCATTTTCTTGATGGAATCTGTGACTACTAGCTTTGGAAGGTCAATACAATTATTCTGGACAAAGAAACTAGTACTACTGGAAGAAATATAATACAGAAATTAATTTGATAACCCCCTGGATTGTACAAAGCCTTTTAAAGTATTTAAAAGTACAAAGTATTTTATAATTTCTCTACAGAGTTCAGAAACTGGAAAAGTCTATGTAATAGATATTCTGATACAAATACACTGTGTGCACAATTATTAGGCAAGTGAGTATTTTGACCATATCATTTTTATGTATATTTTCCACCTCCAAGCTGTATAAAGTTGAATGTTTAGTGGATATCAGTGTATCAGGTAAAGTGAGATCAGCACCCTATGTCAAGGTGTGCATAATTATTAGGCAGTTTCTTTCAGATTTCACTGACTCTGAAGTCAAAAATTGTAAAAGATTTTTCAGAGAGATGCAGTCAGAGGTGGTATTCAGCAAGTTCTGACCAGTTCTGGAGAAACTGTAGCGGAAATTTTGAGTAGTTCAGAGAACTGGCAAATACCACCTTTGACTGGCCCCATCCCCATATATTCATTGCCTCCAAAGTCCCAGCTGATAGGCTGGGTCTTCTTTTGTTGCCTGGCACAGGAGAACGGAGCTAGGAAAGCAGGTTAGTGGGGTGGGGAGGGAATGAGATTTTGCAGTAACCTTCCCCTAAGAGCGGGGAGAGAATGGAAATTTTACAGTATCCTTCCCCTGTCATGCCCACCAAGCCACGCCCACAGAACTGATAGTAAAATCCAACTACTGCAACACTCTTGAAATTGCTAAGATATTGGGACGTGATCACAGAACCATCAAATGCTTTGTTGCAAACAGTCAACAGGGTTGCAAGAAACATGTTAAGGAAAAAAAGGTGTACATTGATTGCCAAAGATTTGAGAAAAATCAAATGTGAATTCTGAAGCTCCTCTTTTTACAGAACTGAGGCTTGGCTGGCAACATTCATCTTTCATATAATAATCATACAGAAGAGCTCTGGAGACTTCAGACCGTCAATTTCTTTTGTGTACTCTAAGCAGTTTGAGATCTATGGATACCAGTACGCCTATGGACACTATTCTCTGCACTTGGCAACTCTTTTTTTACTAAAGTAATAATTTTTTAAAAGCTGAATTTCAAATAAAAAGCCAGCTTCTATCTCTTCATAAAAATTCTTAGTTACATAGGTATTCTTAGAAAAAATGCATTTATAAGTGATTATAATTGAGCAAGAAAAAAAGGCAAAGTTGGCAGAGGGGTTAGTGGTAGAAAAATGACATATTAACAGTTTCCTTTATGGGAAATGTTTTCAGTTCAATACACTCAACACAGCCATTATTTTGTAAACAAACGTCACTGATAGCTCTCAAAATTCCAGAAGTACTCTCTTCACGCACAACAGCTAAAAATTTGTATTGGAATTTTAAAATATAAATTGTCTGTCCATTAACAATGCAAAAATGTATTTGCAAGACTGATAACCTCCAATTTGGCCACATGGTGGAGAATAGTAGTAGTTATAACCATACACAGAATGCATCACGTTTGCATGTAAAAAAAATCACTGCTTAAATTTCTGTAAAGGTACACACTCTGCTTAAAGAAAATATATGCAACAAGTGAGGCAATCAACACAGGCTACAATAGTTGTTCCGAGCAGGGACAAAAATAAATTACTGAAGCCTGGGAAATGAGTCCTTAGTTAATAAAGGTACTGATTTACCACCAGCCTATCAGATACTTTGCAGCAGAGGGCACAGTGACACAAGGAAACAATTAAGAACTTAATAGCCATCCATTAACACCTTAATTAACTAAAGGTTCCCTGTTCTTAGTGTAGTTTTACTATGAAGAAAAATATGACCAAGGATAAACGTTCTGCAAAACCATCTCCAAATACATGGGTTGGCATATTCTTTCAGAATGAGACATGCTTATATGAATGTGTTTTCTCCGAAGTTTGCTTTCCTAATTTTGTTGTTTTAAGGCCAAACTGAATGCAATCAGACAACTACACAAACATTACTGGGGTTTCTGCCTCTTCTTAGAAGAATGTAGCAATATACCAGCTGTTTCCTCAATGGCTTACAATGTAGATTGGGATCTTCTACGTGACATGCAAGTACCTGACTACATCCATCTTTTCCGGCTCGACAAACAATGTATCAAACCACCCAATGGCCACGTGTTTTAGAAAGCACATGCATTAGCTGTGCACATGAAAGCATAGCACTTTGTGCGACTCATTTCAACGTGAAAACCGTGACAGAAACTGCGCAAGTTTCAGAGCTATCCTAAGTAGCAGAAAGGAGCGCCTGCAAAGGCAGCAGAAAACAAGCAACAATGCTCGTCCATTCTGCAAAGCAAAAAGTCAAGTGGAGGAAGGAGTCCATCTAGGGCTGTCTAATACGTTAAGACTCCCGTCTGACGCATATACCGCATCCTACTACTACTTCGGGTAATAGCCCCGAATCTGTTACGAAACCCTGTGATTTTTCGTACTCCAAAACGATACTTCCCCGCCCCCGCCCCCCAGGCGTTCGCTACCGGTACCTGACGAAGAAATGGAAAGAGCGAAGCACAACCTATGCTCATCCTCTGAGGCGCTCTGAATACCGGAACCAATGTAATGTCATCACTGCGAGAGGATTGGCTGCCACCAATAATTTTCTCTAATCAGAGAAAATATACTTCCGGATGGTCCGCCTATATGTCTTTCTCACCCAATAGAAAGAGAAGATGACCAACTCTGGTGCTCCGCCTTCAGTCACCTAATAGCGCCGTGCTCTAATGAAAAAGAGGTAAAAGAATCTGTGTCATTATCCGTCACGGGACCTTCACGTGCCTCTTTTTTTTAATAGTCCTTTCCCGTGGGCGGGATCTAGGTGGGCTTTAGTTTTAAGGTCTTATTCATCAGGCGGTGAGATTTTTGGAACGCCATTGGGTGTCTTAAATTTCCTTTTTGATCTGACCACTAAGGGAATGGCCGTGAGAAACTGATCTTGGGAAAAGAGTGGGCGGATAGCTTCTCCAGCGAGCAAGTTGTTCTCTTTTGTTGACGTTAAAGCCATCATCTTCAGAAACATTTTCCCCGAGGCCATAAAATTAAGTGTCAACTTGGCCGGGCTTTTGGTTAGAAGATTGGAGGGTTTTTTTTGTATAGTTTTAAAAGTTTATGGTGACACTGCAGTTTCATTTGTCCCTACATATATATGCAGGGAGGGTTTATCATCACTAGAGTTGGCAAGTCTTGGAAATTGGGTCACATCCTTGCAGACAACATATGTTTGCTTAACCTGTCCCAAATACTATTAACTCTTTTACCTTGCTATAGAATATCTTACCAATATATGCTCAAGGCAGGAGCCCTTATACTATTTCAGACAAATGAATTCCAATCTTTTCTTGAAAATCTCCAGTGACTGAGCTTCCACAACTCCGGGAGACAAGCTGTTCCATGATTAATTGTTCTGACTGTCAGGAAGTTCCAGGATGGATGTTCTTTAACCAGCTTCCACCCTTTGCTTCCTGGACTGCCCTCAGGTCAGCGGGATTCAAATATTTTTGCCACCAGTTCGGTGGGCATGGCTTTGTGGGCGTGCTTTGCGCACGTGCACACACTTTGTGTGCATGCATGCACCAAACACGCACTTTGCCAAGGTGCAGAAGTGTTCTAACTAACCTCCTGCAAGCCTGCACGATCCCAGTCACTTTAGCAGCTGCTGCACAGTACTGTTCTGTGCCGCGCAAAGCAGCTGCACTTCAAAGTCAGCAGATAAAATTTAGTATGGCAGCCTGGGTAAGCGGGTGGCCCCAACAGCAGAGTGGCGGAGAGAACCGATTCGGTCTCCACTGCTCATCACTACTACCGGCTTGCCAGAACCAGGCCAAACTGGTTGAATACCACCACTGCCTCAGATCCTTTGGGGAATGTCAACCCCCTTAACTCTGTGATTTAGAAGATTATCATGTTGCCTCTTTTCTTTGTTAATTGAAACATATCTCAAATGGTTCCAGATCTTTTATAATCTTTGTTGCTCTTTTCTGCACTTTTTATAGGGTCTCAGCATCTTTTTTGTATTATAGTGACCAGAACTGGACATAGTATTCCAAGTGTGGCCACACTAATGCTGCATAGGTGAGACTATCCCTTGTGCTATCTTGATGCAACCTATTGGCTTTTGGGGAGCTGCAGCACACTATGCTAGTCCACCCCCCATGGTGCACTCTGGATAACACTTAAGGATGAGCTGAGTGGACTAGCAATCCTAAGCAGCCAAAAAACTACTTACTAATAACACTGTAGTCTCCCAGCTAATGTATATAGCCATACGCTAAATAATAAAAAATAATTCTCACCATTGAACTTCTGGTTAGCTAGGGCCCAATTTCCAGGGGAACTGATTAAACAAAAGGAAACAATGAGAAGAAACAATTGGGCATTTGCAAAGTAAATTATGAACTATGATTTCCACCTAGATTTGTTTTGGATTTGGTGGTGTTTGATGTGTTCATGAATGTTTTAGGCAAGAGTGTACAGTAAAATAAACAGTTGTACAATAGTAGACTACAGAATTCTGAAAAAAATCTCTCTAACTTGAGCACTGGTGGAATCTGAACTGGAAGATCTGGAACCATTTGAGATATGTTTATAGATTAACAAAGAAAAGAGGCAACATGATAATCTTCGAAATCACAGAGCTAAGGGGGTTGATCAGCTAAATAAAATGGGTGGTTGAGATGAGTAGCTCCCTAAGTATGTTCATACTGCAATAATTGTGAAAAATATTGTTGGAAGAAATATTCATTTGGGCTCAGTTCCAAGTGGGAAGACAGACATTGGAAACACGGAGATTGCTTGGAAAGATGGTTTAATGGTGGACAGCAAGACCACATGATTTGAGGCTCCTGGCAAAAAAGCACATGGGTGAGAGAGGGAGAGAAATTTATAACCTCTGTTGGGCTTTGAACTTGCTTCCTGTTCCTTTGGCAAGAAATGTATCTTGATTGATTGTCAGACTCCCATGGGGCCATGCTGAGGTAACTTTGTAGGTTGTTTTTTGATTCCCAATCTTGGTTGAATCTTTGCTGGGTGATGTACTGAAGGGGCTTTGGGCAATTCTTATTATGGCTTAATGGCTTTGCCCTGAAGGATTTTGAGTGAGTGTATTTGCTTATGACCTAGCCACCTCTTTATCTCTTAAGTGCTGACATCTGCTGTGGGCTATTGAGGAGGGTAGGGGCTATTAAGAGTGAGTCTGCTTCCTGCCTAAAAAACATGTTTCTCCATTTCTCATCCAGGGAAATATAATATTCTGCCGTTTTAATATTTCCTAGAATATTTCTTCTAGGAGAGGGGTGGGTGCTAACTTCCTACAAAATAATAGAAAAAATGAATTCCATGGTAGGAATTTGGGAAAAATTCATGAAGCTGGCAAAGGATATAATGCCTTTAAATCTCTAATAGAGATACTTTTTAAATGTTTCTGGTAATAGTTTTTAATTTCACATGTAATAAGCATAGCAAGGAGAAATCAAAGTGTCAGAAGAATAATTTGGGGTTCCAACTAGAGTCAGGGTTGCACAAGAAGAAATAAAAATGAGATCCAGACAGCTGTGAAGAAAGATCTATTTATTCTTATACACGCTGCTAAGAGAGTCCAGGAATAGGATATAACTCCCCCTACTGATGTCATAGAGCTGAGTCTGCCACTATAAAAACCATCAGCCTTGGCTGCTTGCCATCTTTTTGACTTGCAGCTTTGTCTCTGGAAGGTTGTCTGAGCTTAAAACGAGTTGGAAAGAGTTTTAAAGAGTTTTAAAAGTGCTTGCAGGAGCATTTCCTTTGAACCTCTTAGATCAGTGTCTCTACAACTCATGACCTTTAAGGTGGTGTTTTTGATCGCCATCACTTCGGCCAGGAAGGTGTCAGAGTTGGCGGCCTTCTCCATTAGACAGGACCTTTGTGTGTTCCATGAGGATAGGGTGGTTTTGAGGTTAGATCCCTCGTTTGTTCCTAAAATAAACTCCGTGGTTTTACCGGGCACAAGAAGTTGTTTTGCCAAATTTCTGCCCAGGACCACAACTTGAGTTAGAGCACAGATGGCATAAGTTGGATGTAAGGTGGACCCTCAAGATCTACATCAAGAGGACTGCTGAATTTAGGAGATTGGAGGCTATGTTTGTGTCATTTCATCCCACCTCCTCGGGGACCAAGGTGGCTCCTTCTATGATTGGCAGGTGGATTCGGACTTGCATCTCCAAGGCCTACCAAGCTTTGTCTCTGACAGTTCCTACAAACATCACAGCTCACTCCACTAGGAGTGTGGCTACTTCAGTTGCCTGGTCTTCTCAGGTTTCACTGGAGGAGATTTGCAGGGCTGCTACCTGGGCGTCTCCTTCACCATTTATATGACATTATAGGTTGGACTGCTTTGCTTTGGCGGACACCTCGTTCGGAAGAAGGGTGCTTCAACAGGTGGTACCACAGTCAGAGTGACCTACCCAGACGTTGACCTTCCTATGGACATGCAGGCTTTGGTATGTCCCATTCCTAGACTCTTAGCAGTGTGTATGAGAATGGCGTTGGTAGAATTACCTGAGAACGCCGTTTCTATATACATTGCAAGAGAGTCCAGCCCCACCCTAGTTCGTCTGGGAGGGGGTATTTTGTTATGTTTACTTGTTTACCTTCCAGAGACACATTATGTCTGTCAAGAATTTTCACCTAAAAGATGGCGAGCAGCCAAGGCTGATGGTTTTTATAGTGGCAGACTCAGCTCTATGACGTCAGTAGGAGTCATATCCCATTCCTGGACTCTCTTGTAGCATATAGAAAGGGCGTTCTCAGGTAATTTTACCAACGCCCATTCTGTTTTGCTTTAGGGGCAACTGCTGAAAAATGAGGTACAGCAGCAAACATTTATAAGGGGAACTTGTTTGGGGTGGGGAAGTGCTGAATTGAGGTGTGAATAGGTTCATGTGTGTGTGTGATATGTATTCTTGTGAATATACAGTTAAGGAATCAGTTCTCAACAAATGAACCAGCAAACATGTTGAAAACTTTAAACATCACTGGCTATATCAAACCTTCTTCCCAGCAGAAGGAAATGAACAACTAGCAGATGACCTGAATGTGTTTTACTGCAGGTTTGAAAGGAAACTACAGCCACCTATCTCCACAACCCCCATCTCAAACACACCAACAACAGCCAAGTCTCCTACAACTGACCCCAACCCATTGGGTCCACAATCACTGGTGATCACAGAAAAAAAAAGTGCAAGATCTATTTCACAGACAAAAGCTAGGAAAAGCACCAGGGCCAGACAAGATAACTCCTTGCTTAAAAGTCTGTTCTAACCAATTGGCCCCCATCTTCACCCAAATCTTCAATAAATCACTAGAGATGTGCTATGTTTCTTCTTGCTTCAAATGCTCTACTATCATCCCAGTGCCAAAGAAGCCCTCCATCAAGGAACTACATCTGTAGTTATGAAGAGCTTTGAAAGGCTAGTGCTGTCCCACTTGAAAACCATCATGGATCTGCTGTTAGATCCCATGCAGTTTGCATACTGAGCAAATAGATCAACAGATGATGGTGTTAATATGGCTCTGCACTACATCCTACAACACCTTCAATCTCCAAATACCTACGCAAGGGTCCTCTTTGTAGTTTT